TGCTGGGGAGGAAGGGGCAGGGGGCAGGGGGTGCTGGGGAGGATGGGGCAGGGGTGCTGGGGAAAAAGGGGGAGGGGGGTGCGGGGGGGAGGGGGCAGGGGGAGGGGGGCAGGGGTGCTGGGGAGGAAGGAGCAGGAGGGGAGGGGGCAGGGGTGCTGGGGAGGAAGGGGGAGGGGGGCAGGGGTGCTGGAGGGGGAGGGGGGCAGGGGGTGCTGGGGAGGAAGGAGCAGGGAGTTACCTTACCTTGTGGTGCTTCCGGGGCTTAGCGTCCCCGCGGCCCGGTCGTCGACCAGGCCTCCTGGTTGCTGAACTGGTCAACCAGGCTGTTGGACGCGGCATCTCGCAGCCTGACGTACGAATCACAGCATGGTTGATCAGGTATCCTTTAGAGGTGCTTATCCAGTTCTCTCTTGAACACTGTGAGGGGTCGGCCAGTTGTGCCCCTTATGTGTAGTGGAAGAGTGTTGAACAGTCTCGGGCCTCTGATGTTAATAGAGTTCTCTCTCAGAGTACCTGTTGCACCTCTGCTATTCAACGGGGGTATTCTGCACATCCTGCCATGTCTCATGTGATGTTATTTCTGTGTGCAGGTTTGGAACCAGCCCCTATAATATTTTCCACGTATAATTATTATGTATCTCTCCCACCTGCGCTCAAGGGAATACAGATTTAGGCTCTTCAGTCGGTCCCAATAGTTTAGATGTTTTACTGAGTGGATTCTAGCAGTAAAGGATCTCTGCACGCTCTCTAGGTCAGTAATTTCTCCAGCTTTGAAAGGGGCTGTCATTGTGCAGCAGTACTCCACTCTAGATAGCACAAGCGTTTTAAAAAGTGTCATAATCGGTACAGCATCTCTAGTGTGAAAAGTTCTTGTTATCCAACCTGTCATTTTTCTTGCAGTTGTGAAGGCTACTTTATTGTGTTCTTTAAAGGTAAGGTCTTCCGACATGAGTACACCCAGATCCTTTACATTGCCTTTTCGTTCTATGTTATGATTTGCCTGAGTTTTGTACGGGGTTTCTGTTTTTATATGTTCATTTTTTCCGTAGCGCATGAGCTGGAACTTATCCTCGTTAAACACCATGTTATTTTCTGTAGCCCATAGGAAGACCTGATCTACATCTGATTGGAGGTTTGCCGTGTCCTCTATGTTGCCTACTCTCATGAAGATCCTAGTGTCATCTGCAAAGGATGATACAGTGCTATAGGTTGTGTTCTGGTCTATGTCCGATATGAGGATCAGAAAAAGTACTGGAGCAAGCACAGTACCCTGGGGGACTGAGCTCTTCACGGTTGATGGGCTGGATTTTATTTTGTTGACTATTACACATTGGGTTGTGTTAAATAGGAAATTGTAGATCCATCTGCCTATTTTCCCGGTAATTCCTTGTAAACGCATTTTATGTGCAATAACACTATGGTCACATGTGTCAGTCAAAGGCTTTTCCGAAATCTGTGTAAATTACATCAGCGTTTTGTTTGTCTTCCATGGCATCTAATGCCATGTCATAGTGGTCCAGCAACTGTGACAGGCAAGAGCGTCCTGTTCTGAAACCATGTTGTCCGGGGTTATGGAGATGCTGTGGTTCCATGTGTTTTGTGATCTTATTCTTGGCACTCTCTCAAAGATTTTTATGATGTGCGATGTTAGTGCTATCGGTCAGTAATTTTTTTGTCTCTGCTTTATTTCCTCTTTTATAGAGTGGTGCTATCTCTGCTGTTTTTAGTATGTCAGGGATAACGCCAGTATCTAGGCTTTGTCTCCACAGAATGTGAAGGGCCTGCGATAGTGGTTTTTTACAGTTCTTGATGAATATGGAGTTCCAAGAATCCGGGCCTGGTGAAGAATGCATAGGCATACTCTTTATTGCTTCTTTAAAATCCAGTGGGGATAGGGCGACGTCTGATATATGATTTGATGTTGGTATCATATCCATGAAAAATTCATTTAGGTTATCAATCTTTAGTGTGTTCAGTGGCTCGCTGAAAACAGAGTCGTACTGCTTCCTCAGTATCTCGCTCATTTCTTTGTTGTCATCGGTGAAAGTTCCATCTCCCTTTCGCAGGGGCCCGATACTAGATGTGGTTTTTTATCTTGATTTTGCATAAGAGAAAAAATATTTCGGATTTCTCTCAATTTCACTGATGGCTTTTGCTCTCTTTGCCTCTCTGGGTTTTGTATGATTCTTGTAGCTTTAGTTCAATGTTTCTGTTTCTTTAACTAACCTTCTTCGTCGCTCTTGAGATAGGGTGCGACTCTCGACTTCTTCCGCGATTCATTTTCTTCACCTGTAGAGGAAACGACGTTCCCGTTCCAGTCAGCATCTATTCCTCTCTTTTTTCTTAGAGAGTATGCGGGTTGAGCATATTTCTAGTGCTACCGAGCTTATTTTTTCCAGGCACTGGTTCAGGTTGGCATTTTCTAGCTGTTCTTCCCAGCTTATTTTTGTGAAGTCTTGATTTATTTGCTCCCAGTTTATCTGTTTATTATTGAAGTTGAATTTGTTGAAATCTCTTCACCGGGAATCTGGACTTGTTTTGAGGGTCTATTCCCCATGCTTGCCATAACTTCAGTTAAGTTGTGATCTGAGTAACAGGTATTTGTAATCATTATATTCCTGATCAATATCATCATTATTGGTGAAGATGAGGTCCAGCGTGTTCGCCTTCGTAGTTGGTTCTACTATTTGCTGATTTAAGGCAAACCTGTCTCACATCCGTAGCAGGTCATTTGCATGTGCCTGTTCATTTTGGCTACTTCCTGGTATTCTTTCTGATATATCTGTATTAGCTAGGATCTTCCACTTCAGGTGCCGTAGGTTGAAGTCCCAAAGCAGGATGATGTTCGGGGTTGGATTTGTGAGGTTTTCCCAGCAGTGATCTATTTTCATTAGTTGGTCTTTAAACTGCTGATGATTTGCCTCCGGTGACTTATATACAAGGACAAAAACTATATTTAACATTTCTATTTTGATTATCAGCACTTCCACCATATCATTTGTGGTGTTTAGCAGCTCAGTACAGATGAGTGTGTCTGATGTAGAGGCTGACCCCACCCAGAAGCCGGAGTTTCCTATCACATCTGTAAAGATTGTAATCCGAGATCCATATTTCACCATCATGGTAGTCCTTGGTGTGAGTTTCCGTTAGGGCTGCAAACACTGCTTTGCCTCATGTAGGAGGCCAGCTATGAATTACACTTTGTTAGATTTGCGTGTTTTTATACCCTGAATGTTGGCAAATAAAAATGTTATGTTTGTGGATGTGCAGGATGCCTTACTTGGTGTTAATATCTGAGGCTCTGGTAAGGAGGCCACTGTGTTTGCGTGCTCTCCAGCATCTGACCGAATTGGTGGTAGAGTCTGGACATTTTTAGCCATTCTTCTCCTCCTCCTCTTGCTAAAAATCATCCTGGTAAATAGTGTCGTGACTGCTTTCCTCGAGGCGGTTTGTCGGTCTTATTCGCCTGGTGCCTCTTATATGGAAGGCGGGACATTCCATATTGAAGCATTCTTTCCTATCTAAGGAGTTCTTGCAAAGTTCTGGGTGAAAAAATTCACAGCTTCCGGTGCATTTACCTGTACACAGCCCGGTCGGAGGGACCGTTAAAGGGAGCCGGTCGGCCGAGCGGACAGCACGCTGGGCTTCTGATTCTGTGGTTCTGGGATCGATCCCGGGCGCTGGTGAGAAACAATGGGCAGAGTTTCTTTCACCCTATGCACCTATTACCTAGCAGTAAAATAGGTACCTGGGTGTTAGTCAGCTGTCACGGGCTGCTTCCTGGGGGTGGAGGCCTGGTCGAGGACCGGGCCGCGGGGACACTAAAGCCCCGAAATCATCTCAAGATAGAGGGAAGATAGCACTCCGCTGTGACGCCGCCCTCGACACAAATTCACAGTGAATTTGTGTGGGGCAAGTGACGCATTAGGGGAGCTGCTACCTTAGGGAGGGTGAGTGAGGGGAGGGGGCTGGTAGGGGAGGCTAAGGGAAGTGAGATGCTCCCAATTGCCTGGACCTGGAAACCTATGTACTAAGGTCACACAACTCCCGGGTACTTGTATACGCTGCTGGGTGAACACAGGCACCAGGTGAAAACAAACGTGCCTAACCGTTACGTTACGAAACCTGTACATCCTCCAACAATCATGGCGACGGTGTTCACATTTATTGAACAGTTTACTCGCTTTCAAACGTCACAATCCAAGGTTTACTGTTTTTATAAACAGCAGAAAGATAATACAGGTTTTGTAATTGTGGCTCCATAAATGCTTCATGAATCTTGACACCCAGGGGGCCAGATTCACGAAGCAGTTACGCTTACGAAGCACTTACGAACCTGTACATCTTTTCTCAATCTTTGACGGCTTTGTTTACAATTATTAAACAGTTAATGAGCTCCGAAGCACCAGGAGGCTGTTTATAACAATAACAGCAGTTGAATGGGAAGTTTTCATACTTGTAAACTGTTTAATAAATGTAAACAAAGCCGTCAAAGATTGAGGAAAGATGTACACATTCGTAAGTGCTTGCGTAACTGCTTCGTGAATCTGGCCCCCTGGCTTATGTGAGCCTAGCAGGTGTCCCCTACATTATTTAATTTGCCCCCTAACACCCCCTGGCACACCAGGGGTGTTACACCCCTGGTGCTTCATCCCACCCCCGGTGGCTCCCCTACCCCCGGTGGCTCCCCCACCCCCGGTGGCTCCCCCACCCCCGGTGGCCCTACCCTATGTGTATTTATTTTTAATTGGCAGTAAGGGAATATGTGGGGGAATTTATCATGTTTATTTATTTAAATATTCATATTTCTGTCGATCACGTCCAGTGCATTTTCCCGCCACGATGAAAGCCATGAACCAGGCAATACAAGTGGCTGTGTTATATTTTAATTCTAGGATTATTTATATGCAATAAATTGACGGACTGGGAATAAAAATTCTGTTCATTCAGGACTGGGAACATTAATGGGGGACTTGATTAATTCTGGCGGTGATCGGGGCTTATTGGCACAGTGCCAGCGTCCGGGGCTTGGAGGCACAGTGCCAGCGTTCGGGGCTTGGAGGCACAGTGCCAGCGTCCGGGGCTTGGAGGCACAGTGCCAGCGTCCGGGGCTTGGAGGTACAGTGCCAGCGTCCGGGGCTTATAGGCACAGTGCCAGCGTCCGGGGCTTGGAGGCACAGTGCCAGCGTTCGGGGCTTGGAGGTCACAGTGCGAGCGTCCGGGCTTATAGGCACAGTGCCAGCGTCCGGGGCTTGGAGGCACAGTGCCAGCGTTCGGGGCTTGGAGGCACAGTGCCAGCGTCCGGGGCTTGGAGGCACAGTGCCAGCGTCCGGGGCTTGGAGGCACAGTGCCAGCGTCCGGGGCTTGGAGGCACAGTGCCAGCGTCCGGGGCTTGGAGGCACAGTGCCAGCGTCCGGGGCTTTGAGGCACAGTGCCAGCGTCCGGGGCTTGGAGGTACAGTGCCAGCGTCCGGGGCTTATAGGCACAGTGCCAGCGTCCGGGGCTTGGAGGCACAGTGCCAGCGTCCGGGGCTTTGAGGCACAGTGCCAGCGTCCGGGGCTTGGAGGCACAGTGCCAGCGTCCGGGGCTTGGAGGCACAGTGCCAGCGTTCGGGGCTTGGAGGCACAGTGCCAGCGTCCGGGGCTTGGAGGCACAGTGCCAGCGTCCGGGGCTTGGAGGCACAGTGCCAGCGTCCGGGCTTGGAGGCACAGTGCCAGCGTCCGGGGCTTGGAGGCACAGTGCCAGCGTCCGGGGCTTGGAGGCACAGTGCCAGCGTCCGGGGCTTGGGAGGTACAGTGCCAGCGTCCGGGGCTTGGAGGCACAGTGCCAGCGTCCGGGGCTTGGAGGCACAGTGCCAGCGTCCGGGGCTTGGAGGCACAGTGCCAGCGTCCGGGGCTTGGAGGTACAGTGCCAGCGTCCGGGGCTTGGAGGCACAGTGCCAGCGTCCGGGCTTGGAGGCACAGTGCCAGCGTCCGGGGCTTATAGGAACAGTGCCAGCGTCCGGGGCTTGGAGGCACAGTGCCAGCGTCGGGGCTTGGAGGTACAGTGCGAGCGTCCGGGGCTTGGAGGCAACAGTGCCAGCGTTCGGGGCTTGGGAGGCACAGTACCAGCGTCGGGGCTTGGAGGCACAGTGCCAGCGGTCCGGGACGTCGGAGGCACAGTGCCAGCGTCCGGGACTTGG